ACGGGCACCCTCCGTCCCGGGGCGCCCACGTAATTCCCAGCCGCCTTCCCCGGGGTCCCGGCGTGAAATGCAGCAGGATCCGTGCCGGCCCGGGTGCCGGGGGTGGCCTCTCCTCGGTGGGGAGGAGTGCCGAACTGCTTCGGGCTGCTGCTGTTACTGATGGGCGCAAGGAGCGGGCCATGAGAAATAGGACTGCAGCCTCGGGGAGCTTAAAATAACAGCAAGCAGCTTGATACCCTGGTGGTGTGTGGAGCGAAGCATGAGTGTGAAGCTCCTCCGCGCTTACTTAGCGCAGCCCGAGGATGCTAGTCTGCCCTAGGATCTGTTCTGTATTTCTGTCTTGGTTTCACAGGATAACGTGGAGAGGGCAGACGCGCTGCAGTTAACAGTGGAGGAATTTGTCGAGCGTTATGAAAAACCTTACAAGCCTGTAGTCTTGCTGAATGCTCAGGTGGGCTGGTCTGCCCAAGAGAAGTGGACATTGGAACGACTGAAACGCAAGTATAGGAACCAGAAGTTCAAATGTGGAGAGGACAATGACGGTTATTCTGTGAAGATGAAGATGAAATACTACATAGAGTATATGGAAACCACACGCGATGACAGCCCGCTCTACATCTTTGACAGCAGTTATGGAGAGCATCCCAAGCGCAGGAAACTCCTGGAGGACTACAAAGTACCCAAATTCTTCACCGATGATCTGTTTCAGTATGCAGGGGAGAAGCGAAGGCCACCCTACAGGTATAGTACAGTCATAGCAAGATAAAACTAGGTATTTTCCATCTCATTAGCTGTTCCTAAATAGGAATATAAACCAAAAGTGATAGCTTTACATCCATTCTTTTGAAATGAGCCTCTGTAACCCAGAGGGAGGGAAGGGCGGATTTGTATATTGCAATTTCTGGTTCTGCCGCCAGTGTTGCTACAAGTTTACGCTCTTTTTTTTCTTAAGTCAGTTTACCTCACTTTTTAGATTTAAAAAAAATTACATAGTTACTGAAAGTTATGAAGATTAATTTATTGCTATGCGTGCCTTCTGGCTTTCAAATTTTAAGGACCTCAGGACTGGCTTCTGCGTTTTGCACTAGTGGTTTATGTACAGTGTGGAATTTTGTTTAATTATGAGTCAGTCCTTTTAAGGTAAAGATCTTAAGCTAGATTGGTATGAAGTGTGGAGACCAGTTATTAGCTCCCCTTCAGATGATTTTGAGAGAGAACAATATTTCACATCTATGTAGTCTTTTCAACTCTTTTTTTGCATCTGATGACACTTCATTCCTGAAATCAAATGCAACAACCTTGTATTTGGGCTGTTAGATAAAAAAGGGGTTTCTGTCTATGTGAATGTAATGCTTCATAGCAGCATGAGCAAGAGCTGCTAAGTAATTAGTCTTTACAGCCACATTGTAATTGTCAGAGAATGCTTTGCCCTTTGAGTGACATGAGACTGTGATGTGGGTTTTTCATTGTTTTGGGTTTTTTAATAAAGTAGAACAAGGAATGAATAATGGTACTTTTCTCTTCTTTGCCATCCTTCACACCTCTGTAGTCCAGTTGTGCTTTTGCAGGAGTGAAGCATGAAACTAATTCTATTGAAGATGGCTGAAGTAGGTGTTTTTACAGTCTTGTAACAGACCCTTTTTATAATTCTTTTCTAAGAAGAACATACAATGCTGTCACCAAATGCAAAAGCACACCAGGTGTAGTCTCTAGTAGAAACTGAATACACTTACAGAACTGGGATTCATTTATCCAAGTTATAGATAATCTAGTTGTGACTTACATTGATATCTCTTTCC